AAAAGGGCGGCATACAAATAAAGGCAAAACAAAACAAAACAAAACAAACAAACAAGTCAAATCTCACTTCCACAAGTGGTTGTCTCCAATTTGAGAATCATAAAGATAAGATGAAGGAAGCATATTAAGGGTAGCATTAAATATACAAAATAGAATTATTCTCAAATTATTCAGTCACTTTCAGTAATTGATATTTTTATTCACATTACCTCCCTTCATACTACAAGAAAATATTAAAACTGAGACAAAGGTATATGTTTGAAAACAATCTTTAACCATCCCAATGAAACAAATGTCTTAAAAGGTTATTTTAAATTGAATACTGTAGTCCAAAAGTCTATTTTCCTGAAAAATAATTATATTTTAAAAAACCACTTACTGTGCTTGCTCCAGAGATATGGTAGATCAAAATGACAAGCTGCATCCATCCTTTCCATTCATCAGTCTGCTCCCTATTTAACACTTTAGTCTGTGCAAAATAAAGAAAAAAGCAGTTACTTTAAAGAACAATTAAAGAAACCATACTACTACCATATATAGTAAATGCATCTGAATTTATCATGCTAATAATTACAAAAGCAATTAACCATAAGTATGCATGCCAAAGTATTTGACAGGGACTGCAAGACAAAGGACTGCACAGAACACTATGAATAAGCTGCAAGGCCATCAAACTTTTTTGTTTTCAGCTTAACAAACTTCATATACTTCTTGCAAGTTAGCTTTCTAAACACAGCAGAAAGTGATTTCTGACACAATACTATATGAAGTACTTTTAGGGGAAGAATGGTCACAGGCATTTTAGGAAATACCTTGCTTAAGGCTGACTAAATGTTGTCCACTGAAACAACAGTGTCAATAATTTTGGGTAAAAAGAATAAAAATAGTATTAAATAACAAAGTATATTTATACAATTGTTCAAAAAGTGCAATTTTATTTTTAGCGGTTTTACAACATAATCACTTTAGTTTATTATGCTGATTCAAGTCCCTGAATACAATGAGACTGGCTTCAAAGAAAACATATAGGACTAAGCTCTCAATTTTTATTTCCTATTTTATTGACGATTATAATATCTAAAAGCAGAAATAATGAAACAATACAAAGATCACTACTGTTTGCCATTACTGTTCATTTTGTTTAATCTAAGTTCTTAATTTTAGCACAAAAGAAAAAAAATACCTCTTTAGTATTTTCTGTGTAAAATACTCCTAACACCAAGATATAAATTATTGGTATAAAAAAAGATGAATGAGTATAAAACTTGTTTTCTTTCATAAATAGGTTTGCTCTATCACACAGGTAGAAGTAGCCCATAATTAAGCCAAGTTTGCACAAGGACTGGAAAAGTGTCTCTAGAGTAGAAACTGTTGGAGAATTAGTGGCAGGTTTTTTCTCTTCTCCACTCTCCATATCAGTGCAGAGTTTATTTTTCTGGTTATTGTTATGACGAATGAGAACAAGAATCAAATATCCAATTACAGATGAAGCCAAAAAGCAAAAAGCTAGTTTTTGTATCAAAGTCACAGGAGGCTGAGGTTGGCAGCATGAGCCATCAATAGGTTTCACAATCTTGTTGCAGTGGTTGTTCATTAGAATCATTGCGCTCTATTGAAAAACAAAAATTGAAAACATAATTTTGTTAGTGGATTTTGTTTACCTTTAATTTTAAAGTGCATTTTATTAAATCAAATATAATAACATTTGCATAAAATTTATTTTGAAAAAGTTAAATTTTTCAGCAGTGAAAATAATAATACAATATGGCATAACAAAATACTTAACTCTTCATCTAATCGCAAATTGGATAGTGGAAATGTATGATAAAATCTTTTGATTACATTACATCATGGAACAATTGGCATATCTCAATGCTTTTTAAAACTGAAACACATGGTTAACCAAGATAAAAGGCTGAGAAGTCCTAAACATTATAGGAATTTTCTGGATTTTTACAATCCACAGAACCATAAAATACAGAGTAATTTCTTTCTTACATTACAGGTGTGCTTTTAAAGTTAACACCCTGCAATTTTTATAGCGTTAATTAAATGAATTAATGACAAAACTGAATTTGAATCAGTTTTTTCAGGTCAATTTACTTGTTATATACGAGAGAATATAAGCAATGATCAGAATTAACTGGAAATGATTTATGCAGGGAAAGAAAAATCATTAAATTAAGTATGTTAAAGAATTTAATTCAAATTTCTATAACATTATATCATGAAATGTATAGGGTATTAATTAAATGTTGCCTTTGCAAAAGATTTCCACTGTATATAATAGAAAATGATTTTGAGACAGTTTTTCAATACCTATTAAAATAGTAATCAAGTTCATTCAATTAGTCATTATTATAAGATCTAAAAGTATTTTTTGTCATTATCATTTCCAATGGCTGTGTTTCAGAGAGATTACTCACTGTTTCTCTGCTTGATTCAGGAAGATGTAAGCCGTCTGATGACTGAATTATAGTTTCTTCTGCTATTAGTCTAGTTGCACTAAAAACCTTTACTTTAGCTTTTGAATTTTTTGAGCTGCTGTTCAGAATACTGACCGCTGCTTCATTGTAAGCATCTATTTTCTCATTAGTGATCATTTTCCTGCTTTCACTCAACATATCTTCATAAACTGGATCTGAATTGAAATGAATATCTGAGTTACCACTTTATAAACCAAAGCACCAAATAAATAAATATTTCGTTCCAAGAGATTAGAAAATCACTAGCTTACACCCTTTTAGCAAATAAGGGAAAATTTGATTGCCACCAAATTTCATTGAAACAAACTGCCATTTAATCACAGCTCAAATAATTAGTGTTTGGTGCCAATTAATATTAAAACATTTCTTCACATAAAGCAAAAAAAAATCTTACTGAATTCCATCCCTATAATTAGAAAATTGCTGGAAAAAAAGACTATTATCCATGCTTCAAATTATCTTTGTTCCCAGTATATAGGAATACATTCAAGAATAATTCTGATGCCTTCCCCAATTAGAATAATATAATGCCACAATAGGATTTATAAAATACATAAAGCTTGCTGCTTAATCCAACTACCCAAAATAAACCATACTTGAAAGGTGGCTGTATATGTAACCTCGGCTTAATGTTTTTCCAACTAAATGAAGTCTTACTTCTACATATAATTGATTTCTGCCACTGAACAGTCCACTTTTGGGAAGACATTCTTAACTTTCTTTAAATGAAGACCTTTATTCTGATATTTATTCTGGGATTCCACATAGCAAAGAGGTCTAACAAAAACCTTATTTTTTATCTGACATATAATTTTTTTTCTCAGGTGATCAGGAAAATTGTAGGCTATTATTTAAATCTGCATTTTGGGAAATTTTCTAATCTCTAATTCAATTTAGATAAAATCATCTGTTCCAAAGGAGGTTAATATTTGTTTAGTATTTGCTCAGATATCATGTTAAGAGTTATTTCCAGTACAAAATGTGATTTCGCAGAAATTTAATAATGTAGCAGTAGTGATCCACAATATGGAGCAAACTTCAGCAGCCGTTCCTAGAAAAAAATCTGGCATTCTGAAAAAAAGAAAATTACAAGTATTTTGGATAATTCAACTAATTATTTAGCTTGTCCCAAGTCACAATAACAATACACCAATGTGCAACACGATCTAAATTTTACCTTGCAAGACCCAATAGACATCACTACTCCTTGCCAGCTTTTCCAGAAGGGGTGCAATTGAAGTGATATTAATCCTGTATTGTGTGAGTGCTTCATTGCTGCCATTATGAATTTTTATAGACCACTGAAAAGGATATTAAAGGAAAATGAATTAAAACTGTTGCTATTTCAGAAATCTTATAAGCAACAGATTGATATATTTTATAACAAATAAATCAAAATAATAAAATACATACATAGAATATTATATAGAATATTGCAAACTCTGAAACTAACAGCTTTCAGACATTTCTAAAAATAAGACATTTTAAAAATATTAATACTAATTCTGGTAATTCTGATCAGATTTATAATACTGTGATACAATATTCAAATCCACTCTTCTTATATTTTATTCTTTAATAGAATAGAATAGAAAATATTCATTTAATTAGCACTCCTTTAGCAACTATTCAAGTTACCATAGTACTGAACTAGGAGATATATGATCAATTCTTGAAGTTGCAGCCATTGCATTGTACCTTATTATCAATGGTAATATGAACACCATTTGTGATCTTCACTACTGGCAAATGGTGAAGAGAGCAGGAAGTTGTAAATTGTGGTCACATGCCATTGCATTTAATAACTGTGATTCACTTAATGATTGCGACCAAAATTGTCATTAGTCAGTGCAATCACCTGATTTTTCACTTTATGACCACATTGCTTAACAACGGAGTTGCCAGTTCCAGTTAGTGCTTGACTTACAATTATTTTACGAACTTTCAGAATTACAGCAGGCTGATATGGCCTGAAAGGCATTTTTACTCATATAAAATATTGTGCTACATGGTTCCAGGGCTCTCTGGTAGTTATGTAACTATACTTTGTTGACTATCCTATCCTATCCTTGTTGACTGGCAACAATCTTGCTTTTATGATCAGTTGCAGCATCCTATGGTCATGTCTGTGAATTCCAAACTTTTTTTCAGTTTACAGAAAAAAGCACTCATATGTTTAATGATCACGTGATTTACTTAATGACTGCAGTGATTTACTTAACAACTGCTGGAAAAAATGTTGGAAAAATGGGACTGACAGTGTGCAATGACTTATGACCAGATTTCCAGTTCCAATTGTGGGCATAAATTGAGGACTATCTATATAGCCATCAACTGAGAACTGAAATGAGTTTGCATATATATATTAGCAGTCTATAAAAGGATAGTAAAAAAAATATATTCTGATGCCAGCTGTCAGTCAAGAATTAACAATACCCTATTAGCTGTAGAAACAGTAGCAGCAAGAAAAAGAAGTTCAGGTTGGCAACTTATGCAATGTAAGAAAGATTAGTGTACTATTGATAATGATAGGTCAGCCAATAACCTAATTCTCTGGGTAACTTGAAATAACAGAGTGAAAAAAAGAAAAAAACAATATCAGTTTACTGTATATGGAATTTGGAATAGCTGAAATCAGAGACTGTCATAATTTTATTTGGTTATTGCAATGACTAATATCCAAATAACTTACCGTAGCAGCTCCTACTACAAGTATATGAGGCTTGGATGAAGAACCCTATGACATAATAAAAATTAAGTTAATCCCAACACAAATCATTATCATTGATTGATTTCTTAATTAGAAAGATCGTTTGTAAAACACATTTATGATCATAATGTCAGCTCTGGTACCCTTTGGAACCTGACACATAATATTTACTAAAATTACTCTCAAGACTACAAATTCTAGAAACCATTCATTTGTTGAAATTATCATAATAATTATAATAAACATAAAAATAACCTATACAACTCACTTCAATCCAAGCCTTGATACTTTGCTTCATAGAACCATTGACCTCTGGATACCACAAGAAATCCTGAAGAGAAAAGGACATACTTGTGTAAGCGTAAAAATCTTGAAACCTCTTATGTATTGAATTTTGCCATGGATCTAAGGAAGGACCAATCAATGGTTTAAAATAGAAATATTTTCTTTCAAATATAAAATGCCTGAGCTACACTGTAACCAATCTACAAAATTTGAACAATTCCTAGTAGTTACAATGTCTACATCTATAATTGATTTAAACTATTAAAATATTATTATTTTTATTCTATTGATTATTGCCTATTTTTCTGTGGCATTCAGTTGCCCCAAACTTTCAAAGCATTTTCTTCCACAATTGTCTTGCTACCAAAGAGAATGGAAGTTAAAAGTTGCTTGTTGAAAAGTTGGCTGAATACTCCTTCCATTGCTGGACATGTATATATAATTTTTAACTACTATTTCCAGCAATAGACCAACTCTTTCTCTTTATTAGAGTTAGAAAACAGCAATACTTACCACTTTAAGTGAAGATGATTTGTCTTCAAAAGGAATGTTTTCATGCTGTCAAAATAAAAAATGCACAGTGTAATATTTTCCATAAACTTGTAGATTATACAAACATTTACATGTTGTTTACAAACACCATGTAAATTAGTAGCAGAGAATCCTGCTGCCTTCCTAATTATACTGTAGCAGCCCAGTCAGTATATCAATGTTGAAGTATTCTGGAGATTATTACTCAGCAACATCTGAAAGCTTACAGGCTCCATAGCCAACATTAATTTGATTTTTATGGGTATTATCATTTTTTAATCTTCAATCCAGTGGTGGGTTGCAGGCAGTACGCCCTTGTACGAGCATACCGGTGCCTGTCGGGAGCACTGGGTACCGTTCCGGTATGGTGCTCTGGAGGGCCCAGCCGCCCACCTGAGTGCCTTATCTGTATTTGAGCTCTTCGGCGCTTCCATGCATGGAGCCTGTGCTCCACTCTGCTGAGCAGCTGGAGCATTGCGGAAGTTCGTGGAGGCGTCGCAAGAGGTATGTCTACATGCGCGCGTTTATGTGATGCACGCCGGGCCCTGTTGCAATCATACCAGTTGCAATGGGATCCAGAACCCACCACTGCTTCAATCAGAATATGGTAAGAGGAATATACAAATATATTACATATAAATATGTAAATCAGCAATAAAACTATGGTGCAACCTAGAGTTTTTTAAAATCTTCTTTCTCACTTCATAATCTTGATTAAAATCATTCATTCCCTTCTGAAACTACTATTTATATCAGGAAATAAATTGCTTTTTCTACCAATGGGTTTCTAAGCCAATAGAAATAGCATTTGAAGGATTTCTTAAAAACATTATTCTCCCACGTTTTCAAAAACTGTTCCCACAGCTTTTTTTTTTAAAGTAAACATCAACTGTGTAATCTGGCACTTGCTTAATAAATGTCTAGCTATTGAAGGTGCTTTACAAATATTTCAAGAAAGTACACCAAAGCTTTAATATAATCCTCAATAGCATATTCATGGACAATTTGTTCCATGGATATAGATGTTGCAGTAGTACTGCAGCTAAATCTTAATCAGAACACTTTGAACTCCTAGATTCATCTATTTTTTTCCTTCTAAGACAGACCACAAAAAAGGCAAGGAACATGGAGTATGATATTTTTTTTCTACCAGTCATCTATTTTTAATCTATTAAGCTAGCAAGTACTTATTTCTTTTTCTAATGCTACCATAGTTATCAACTCTGGTTTTAAAAAATCACATTTGTAGTCCAACAAGGAACACCTAGTTTTCAGGTAATTCCAAGTTATAATTAATTATTTAAATAATGCCAAAACCCTGTTAAAGCTAGGAACTATAAAGGAAGGAGAAATGAAACAAATGTGTATGAAGCATGTGTGCATTTTAACAAATTGTTATACTTAAGACAAGGAAATAACTTTTCCAAAGAGATGTTGCAACATTTAAACTCTTAGAATTTATAGCTTTCTGTACAATTTCATCACCTAGGAATATTTCAACCCCAACAATTGGTACATAACACAAATTATGTCAGACATATTTATGTGATTGGAAGAAGGACTCATAAAGCCTTTTTCTCCAAAAATCTTAATGACGTCTTGCCCACTATTTCTCCATTGTAGTGTGTTTCTCCAAAAATAAGCACTAGTCTGATTTTTAAGATTATGCCTAATATAAGCCCTACACCAAAATAAGCCCTACTGAAGGGAGGGGCTAAATGTGGCCACTACAAGAGGCAGCAAGTGTCTGGAGAGATAGTGGGATGGAGTGGGCGGGCATGACAGATGTCTATATCGCCTAAAAAGATTAGATCCAAGGGCATAAAATAAAACACTGCAAAAAAAAAAAAAAGTAACTAAAGGGAGGAAGTTCTACCTCGCTTCTGGGTCTACAGATTCAGAAGCCCACATAAATTGAATGCCCATGTTGAAACGGTACCCGGATGATGAAGCTAGAGGAAAACACTTATTCCCCTGCCCGTCCTCTGGGCAGGAAACAGCCAACATCCATCCTCCCAAATACTTAGCATGGCAGCTGCTTTCCTTCGTGGCCCAGATCTATGACCTCCGAAGTAACCCCCCTGCCACTGTCTTGTCAGGGCCCCTTTCCAGTGGTCCTGGAAGAGCCACACTACCTTGCCCACTGTCAATTTGCATTCCGTCCCATCCCTGTCTTTCATGGCTTTGGTGGCAAGAGCTCTGTAGCAGCCCTGCAGCAGGACAGACGAGGGAGGGGGAGATTGCCCTTTCCTCCTTTGCAACCCCAAATCTCATATCCCCTGACCACTGTGCCCCTGGCCTGGAGGGCCTCCATGGAGCTCTTGCCTGCAAAAGCCACAGAGGGAAGGGGAGGAGTAGAGCCTAAAGGCAACAGCGATGTGGCATGGTTCCACAAGTGGCCACTGGGGAAAGGGGCCCTGGCAGGAGCAGCCCAGCAGGGCGGCTGAGAGCAGTGTGGTCAGGAGGGCAAAGAGTCCTGGCATGACCTGCAGCAGCAGATGCAGCAGGCCCAGTCAGAGGCATGGGAGAGGAAAGTGATCCTGATGCACCACATGCTTTCTGCCTTGTCCTAGCAGCAGTCTGACAAAGACCTGAGCTCCAGTGTCCCAAAAGCAGCAGAGCCAGCAGGCAGGGCGGTGGAGGCTGGGGCACCCTAAGAGTTTGCCCTGTTGCAGCTGCAGACAGGCAGATGGTGGGACAGAAAGTGTCCACCACTGGTAGCAGCGCTCGCACACTCATTGGCCTCTGCACTCGCTGCCCTCTGTACGTGAAAAAATAAGATATTCCCAGAAAATAAGCTCTAGTGCTTATTTTGGAGCTGAAGATAAGATTTTTGGAAAAAACATAGTATTAACAACAGGGAAACAATATCAAGCTGACGATAACAGTGTCAAAGACTGAAAAGAAATAACTACCCAATACAACTATACTTTTAATTACTCATCTGATCCTAGAGCAAAGCAGGAGATATATTGAAAACTATCTCCTCCAGTTAATGTCAATTAACCAGGGAGGGGCATAATACAAACCTGGGTGCAAACCACAGAAAAAAATATTCAAGGATTGCATACAGTTCTAAATATAAATGTTTGCATAAGAATTGCATAAATTCTAATATAAATGCTTATTTTATAAAATATATGACAAAAAATGGACAAGAGTTAACATTACCTTTTAAGAATGTTTCTGTAGCAATAGAACTTAGGCTTATATACTGATTTACAGTGCTTTTCAGTCCTCTCTAAGTGGTTTACAGAGTCAGCATACTGCCCCAACAATTTGGCTCCTCATTTTACCTACCTTGAAGGTTGGAAGGCTAAGTTAACCTTGATACTGGTGAGGTTGAACTGTCAATTTTTTAAGCAGCTGGCAATCAGCAGAAGTAGCCTGCAGTACTATACTCTAATCATTGTGCCATCACGGCTCATATATAACTTCCCTTTTCTTTTTATCCTGATTTTTAAAATACTTGCAAGTTTTATTAACTTTTTTATTATGTTTCTTGTGACATGAACATATGCTACTGAATTAGGGATATCTGCATAGAGGTAAATGAATAGAACAGTGATAATGGTTCTGTAAATATTTATGGTTCCATAGCTATAAAAATAGTGAGGACAAAAATATTGAAAGTTATACCTTGTTTCCTTCCTCCTTAATTTGAGGATTTATGAGTTTTACAAATGAGTAGAATAGCTGACGAATCCTAGAATCGCCTATAAATGCAATATATTTGTTTTTGAGGCATGATTTTGCTTCACTGTAAAAACAAACATCAATATTAATTGGTTTGAAGTTAAGAACAAAAATGAAGTTTGCAAACATTTAATAGAAGAATATATTGGTGGGCAAATCCTATTTATTCAGCGAGGCTTATAAAATGAAATATACCAAAATATTTGAAAAATCCAAACTATATTCACAATTGCCATCTTGGTGTCCAAGAAGTCTTGTTAACAGTAATAACATCAATAGCAACAATAACCATACAAAATCAAGATAAAAAAACCTTAGCAGACAACAGTCTCACACACCTCTAAAAAACTGATAGTAATATCCAACATCAAAATATTGTTATCAAATAGTATTTTTAATTTAACAGAAGATGTAAAATATTAAGCCCATGACAAGCAAACTAATCACAGCAAATATTCTACATAAATATGTTTGGTTTTACATTAAATGTAAATTAAATTTAGTTTGTGTCTCGCCTTAAATACGTTTACAACAATATTTTACCTCTGTTTATATCTATGCATCATACAGCTATAAGGTTGCCATGTTTTGTCCCCAAGGAATCTTCCAGTAGAGAGAAGATATTCACAAGTATCGTTACCTAAAGAGAAAAAAGGAAATATGGTAATAACAACAACAATAAGAAGAACAAAAACAACAACTTGGAAGTGGTTAAGATCAGGAGCACTGAAAAAAGAAACAGAAGGCTTTATTTTGGCAGCTCAAGAACAAGCCTTAGTCACAAACTACATGAAGGCGAAAATTCAACATGCTACCATCAACAGCAAAGGTCGCCCCTGTAATCAGAAAGACGAGACAGTCAACCAGTGGATCAGTGGGTGCAGCAAAATTTCACAAACTGACTACCTAAAACTCCATGACCGCGTTGTTAAGATCATTCACTGGAAATTGTGCCAAAAGTTTGAATTTGATTACAGCAAAAACCA